CATGAAGTTTATCAAAGTTTTACATAAGCCACATGCATTTGAATCTATAGCTGACAAGTGGCTGATGACTTATGCAAACTTTCAAACTCAAAGCCATTCTCACACGCACGCACACACACACACACACACACACACACACACACACACACACACACACACACACACACACCTAATCTTCTGTTTCCCTTTTATATCACAGGAGTGTACGGACCAATTCCCTTGCAATTCCCTGCTATTACTTTGTCCTATTTGTTGCTCAGTGTCTGTCCTGCTTGTCCCATCCTGTTTTTGCTTTTTTTTACAGTGAGATTCGTCTGATGGAGATTGTGGAGGGGCTATGTGAAAGCAGCAGCTTTGAGTGCAATCGCATGGTTGAAGAGCATGAAGAGCACTTTGAGACTTGGTGGTTCAAGAGGTGGGTGTTGGTTAATGCAAATATTGTCAAAGTTTCAATGTCAGCACGGTCAGTCACACTGGCAAGTGGGATGGATTTAAACTGTTAGGGTTGTAACACAGAGACAGATTGATGCCCCTCCAGCATGATTAGGCAAGCTGACAGAGGTGTCACCTGCAGAGTTATTGATGTACTAACATTTGTTTTCAGTAAAATGTGGTAAACCTCATCTCTTCCTGTTTTTTTTCCTGTTGCATTGCAGAAAAACAAAACATCCTGACCTGCATAAGTGGTTCTGCATTGAAACCATCAAAGTGTGCTGTCCGAAGGGAACGTTTGGACCTGACTGCAATGGTAAGGAGAAACACAACACAAAATGATACTAGTATTATAAACAACTAAGACCACTAACCTCTTGAAGTAGCCACAATGTTAAAAGTGGTTATTTAAGTGGATATTTTTGTGTTGCTTCTGTCTTTCTGATTATCTTTTTAAGCCTGTGTGGGCAGCTCTGAGAGACCCTGTCACGGAAATGGAATGTGTGATGGCGACAGGACTCGTGGAGGGAACGGAAAGTGCAGCTGTAACCATGGTTATGAAGGGGAGTCCTGCCTGGACTGCATCGACGGCTACTTCAACGAAGTGAGGAACGACACCTTCTCCCTTTGCACAGGTACAACACAGAAACAAGTGAAATGCTGCTGCGCCACTGACATGTCGCCAACCTTCATGCGCAAATGTGTAGAGAAATCTGTGGTGATTCTGAATTCAGGCTTCACTTCCTCATACAGAATGCCACTCTTCATGCAAGACCTGCACTGGAGCAACCAATCAGGACTGTGATGAGTGCAAGGAAGGCTGGGAGGAGGATGAGCAGGAAGCTTGTGTCGGTGAGAGTACCAATAATAATTCTACATGTGGTCATTTATGAGCATCTAGGAGAAAGTAACAACAGTTCTAATATGTGGGTAAAGCCAGAACTGCATGATTATGCTTAAAATGACAGCTGTCTTTGATAATAAAACAGTTTTATTGCACTGAACACTTTAATAGTCAAAAAACTTACTTAATTTTCATATTTTATACTTTTAGAGCCAGAATAAAGATCTATTATTCAATTAGTCAATTGCCAGAAAATATATCTTTAACCATTTCGATAATCGATTAATCATATAAGTAATTTTTCAAGTAGAAATGCCAAATATTTCCCAAGTTCCAGCTTTGAAATAGTGAGAATTTGCTGTTTTTCTTTGGATTATAACATTGTAAATTGAATATCTTTTGAGTTTTGTACAGTTGGTTTGACAAAACACGACATTTGAAGAAGTCTACTTTTCCTACTATTTCCTAAGATTTTATTGACTAAATTGTTAATACACTAATTTAGAAAGTTACTGGCAGACTAAATGATAAGATATTTTTTTTAGCTTTTTGTCATTTGTGTGGACGTGTGTAGAAAAATGTGTTTCATTGCTGAATATGTATTAAACTGAAGCCAGAAAAATGTCTGCACAGAAAGGCATTTATCCTCACAGAGAAAAATGCTATAAGTATATGTATTTATGCAGATTGCGTGTGTGATGAATATACTCTAGCCTGCAGCTGTATTTGCCAAGCAGACATCACATCATTCACATAGTAGATCACACTCTGGACAGAGTTCATCTCACTGCAATCTATCTCATGTGTTGCAGATGTGAATGAGTGCTCCACTGAATCCTCTCCATGTAAAGAAGATCAATACTGTGTTAACACAGAAGGCTCCTACTCCTGCAAGGGTAAGAGGACTCACAGTATCTTTTTATTTTTGGGATGTGACCTTTGTCTATAGGGGCTATGAACTGTTTAAAATGTGCCATATTTCAGAAATCAGGAAAGTCATTTAGTTTCTCTTCACTGAAAGATTTCTCTGTGATATTTATCTGTGATATATTTTAGAAAGGGTTTCTTTTGTGTGTGTTTGTCCTTCACAGCTTGTGACAGAGTTTGCTCTGGCTGTACTGGAGCTGGTCCTGATAAGTGCCAGGCTTGTGCCAGCGGGTACCAGGACGCAGAGGGCACCTGCACAGGTATGATAGAAATAATCCACTATTTGAAAGGTTCCACTTCTCTATACTGTTTACCAATTCTAGAAGAATTTATGATTCATTTAGAAAACATTATAGAATAAATATTAAAGACGTTAAAGATAAGAGTGGCATTATTCTATATTTTGCTTATTGGAAAGAAAGGTAAAAAAGGGTTAGTAGTTACAGCTGGGCTCTGTAGGTTTTGGCAAAGGATACACTATAGACTTATCCTTTTAAATTCTGTTGCATCTTTGAGTTTCAACCCGTTATTTGCACACAAAGATTCTTTTTGTTGGTATCACATGAACAAAATTTAGTCTGGTTGGCTCATCAGTGTTATGTTTTGTGTTTTCCAAGATATCGATGAGTGTTCCCAGTCAGAGTCGGTGTGTACAAAGGAGCACCAGGAGTGTGTCAACAATAAAGGCAGCTACGTGTGCATCTGTTCAAGTGGCTATGAGGAGCAGGAGGACGAGTGTGTCCAAATGATGCAGCCAGGTGAGGATTAGTGTTTAAGGACTAGTTTCACACAGTTTGTGCCTTACTCTTTCTGAAGGCTTTTCAGAGGTGAACTAAAGGTTTGTGTTAGTTACTACATTTTGATATTACAGCATATGGAATTAATTGACAACACATTGTATATTGTGCCCCTAGGATATTATCAATAAAAATTCAGTATATTAGTTCAATATCTAATTACTTATGATTTACACATGCTTAAATTTGCATCAGAACAAGCAGAAGAGTCAGAAGCATCCGAGACGACCACAAGTCCACACGGGGAACTTTGATGTCAAAACTGGGATCATGAGGAGCGAATCAGGAAGAACTGTTGAAATCTGCCACATCTGAAGCTGCTTGTTTTTAAAAAAATTGCCGACTACATGCACTTAATGTACCAGCTGCACTTAGAACCAACAAAAGCTGCCAAGACAGTGTTTTCCAGCAGTGGATCATGGATTAAAGGACAAAAAAAAGAGACACTTTATGCTCAGTATGCTGGTCATTGTTGCTTTTCTCTGGTGTACGCAAACTACCACTCATTGTCTTTAGTTGTTCTATGGTTTTAAAAATCAAAGGTGTTTCAATAAAGGTGAATTATGTTAAATTTAAGGTAAATCCATGCCAACAGGCTGTGTATACCTTCTTCTACAATGTGTGCTGTTTATTCTACAGGAGCAAATGTAGTGCAGTGGATTATATTAGCAGGTGGAAGTTAGAGCACAGGTTGTGTAGTTGCAGTCATCATAGTTGACCACACGGTGGCAGTCTAATCATATGAAATATGGAGGCTCACTTCTGTGTACAGATGTACCTTATTTAAATTGATGAAGGACAAGTGTCTCACTGTTTTTACTCAGGGCTTCCTCCCTTCCTTTAGCCATTTGTGATGCATGACCAGATTTGAGTGTTTTACCAGGGGGACTCATGCTGTATATTATACATCTTCATATCTACATGTTTATATTCTTGATTTTAGAGCCATACACATTAATCTACGGTTTTACTGCGTCACCTGAACTTCACCAAATCAATCTTTTGCAAATAAGCAGCATTTTTGGTAAGATCTCTTCTGGTCCTGCTTGGATCAAAGAATATTTTTCTAACCCTGGTCTCACCTTGGAAAAAGTCTTCCCAGCTTCCTGCGGGATGATGTCAGCTGTTTTGACTCGACAGGCCCATTAAGGCGGAGGGAACATCCAGTTGAGACCTGTCTGAGCTGGTAGTGAGGCAGCGGAGATGCAATCATACCACAGGCCCATCCTCTCACAAACACACACACTCACCTCTCCACTTTTCACCCCTGGATGTTAATTCCACTATAATGACAGGTTTTTATCAGGGAGGATGGGAAAATAATGTTTCCCAAATAACACATCAAACAAAGTGAGCTGATGCTGAGTGACTGGTTACCATGACCACTATAGTCATCTGGTGTTTCTGACTTGACGCTAACTTTGCACTGGCCATCTCTGGCGAGTTGCCCCAGAAGTAGATCCCTTTGTATGGAGTTATAATAGCGAATCCATTATGTGTTTACTCTTGTTTGAACTCAGAGATGAGCATTTGAAATTATTGATGTAAAATTGAAGTTTATTTGGAAATCCTCCGGAGCCTCATGCTGCTTCCCTCAATATAATTGTTTAGCCAGATTTCTTGTTAGCATGACTGGTTAACTCACTACAATGGGTAATTCAGATCGCCTATGTGTGTAGGACTGGGGGGAAAGCATTTTGAATTATTTATTTAAAATTGAAGTATGAAGATTTTGGAAGTTCACACAGCTAGCCCCAATGTGCCTGTTATGCTGGGGTTCACATATCTCTAGAGTTAGCATGGATATAATTATGACAATAAGACCCAGGCTGAAAATAACAATTTTCTTTTAAAGGTGCGATATGTACCTTTTTGCTATGGCTAGATAGCCGATGTTAGCATTAACAGCTGTTTACTTACCAGTCTAGACATTGTGAGTTAAGCATCAAACTTCGTTCCTTTATTCGCCAAGAGCTGTCTCCAGCGGTGGAAAGCAATGCCAATGGTTCCTCTCTTTTTGCTTCAATTTCTATCACTTGTCTTCTACTAAAGTTAGCATGCTAACCAGGTAGCATCGGCCCGTCCCGTCTCATAATACTATTTTGTGACAGTGAGTGACTGCAGTGTCAAGTTCAACATGAGGCTAAAGAAGTAGCACTGGCTACTGTAAACATAACGGCTGAAGCTCTTGGAGCGACCACTATCACCACCACCACAGCTCCCGGCAAGAAACCATTTTCGGCAGCAGAAAAAACTTACATAAAGCACCTTTAGGAGTGACAACCGAGCACAAATGAGCAGCTTTTACCAAAGGTCAGCTCACCATTGTGTCGATCATCAGTTTGGTATCGATATCAACATCATTACCTACAAGGGCCGTGTATGGTTTAAAGGTTATATGTTACATGATTGATAGGCATTTAAGTTTAGACTCTTGCAAACAAGTAGAATACCTGTTTTTGCTTTTTAGAGCTGCAAACGTGCTATTTTGCCTGGAGCCATTTTAAAAATGCAAGAAGATTTTACATTTGACTCTGAGCAGCCAAAATGATTTCAGCACTCACAAAATGAAAACAGATACTCAACAAGCAGGCAGATCGGGCTTCCGGATCTTGCTTACAATTTTCAGTGTCTTGACCTTGTAACCTCTCTAAGACAGCTCTTCTAACCACTGGGCTTGGCTGCTGTTGAAATTAGAGTATTGTTTATTCCACATGCTGGCCTCCTCTTTCGTGCGGCGTAGTGAATCCCCAGCCAGATTCCACAAAACGTGCATCAAGACGTGGATGGTGTTTGTGTGTCTCCACATGCACAGAATTTCCCATGCGTATGTTTATACTGACTGGAGCAGCATGTGCACAAATACTCTGTGGTTGGAGGGGCACCCTGCTCTTTTCTTCTTGACTTTGTGGTGGTTTTTCTTGTGCCAGTAAACCTCAGCTGTGGAGCACATGGTCCAGCTGTGTTGGGGTGACTATGAGGACACTGACATTGTTACCGAGGAAACCCAAGAGCATGCAGAGCCAGAAAATGTACAGAGCATTGAGCTTATAGCACCATAGCACATGCTTTTTATTCTAACAGGCCAGGACACCATGCCTTCTGTTCCCAGGCATCAAACTGTGACTCTGATTCTCCTCTTCATCCTCATTCATCAGCAGTTAAATCTCAGGGATGCTGTTTCCCAAAGCTATCCTTAGACAACAATCCCTTTTGTTCCATTGTAAGGCAGTGGGACAGAGATAATCATAGTGCTGAGATACACTGAGGGGAACTGCACGCTAAACTAGAAGCCAGATGTGGCACCATGTGCTTCTGTTCAGCTGTCAGTGGCCTGCACCGCCTCTGATGTCAGGCACTCCTTAAACTTGCTGCCCTCTCTGATGCGGTTGGTTCTGCCTTCCTTTCACCCAGCTGAAAGCTTAACCACCAATGATTAAGCCAGACAAATTGGAAACTCTGCAGGGCAGAGGCAACTCGAATATAGAACTTCTCAAGGTGCTGTTTGGGAATCTTCCCTTTCAGGGCGCTGTGAAGGAGCCTCAGCGAATGAACTGACACCAGCACTCTTGCTCCGAGATGCTTTATAAAATGCAGACTTTGGCTTTGAAGTAAAAGCATTACATGGAGGACAGAGGAGCAGCTGGGGCTGCATGTGTAGCTGGAGCAGCTTGCCTGAGGTTAAGGAGGGGAAATTGGAAATTTGTGTTGTGTGCGAAAGAGATATAACACACTGACTTGCAGTCTGCATGACCCCTGAAACCAGTGTTGTGCCAGTTCACACTTAAAAAGAACTAGTTCAAAGTTCAGTTCATCCACATGAAAATTAACTAGTTCACATTCATAGTTCATTTTAAAAAAAATTGAACTAAGTTAACAGTTCCAAAAATGAACTAGTTCACATTCATTTGTTCAGTTTTTTTAAAAATATGCCGCTATTCTTTTTCAATAGGACGTCCTCCTACCTATCCATCGCCAGCCTCAAATCATTGCCACTATCAAACTAAATGATTTATTGTATACCACTGAAGAATTACATTGCATTGAAAATCTTCACTTGTTTGTTCATAAAACGGCCTAAAATGCTCAAACAAACTGCTTCAGCAGTAATAGATGCGTCTGTAATGTCTGTACCGCTACCACCAGTCAAGCTGGGCTGTGTCACCCGAGGGTACAAGTAGGAATACATTCACTTTTTTATCTAACCAAAGGCTGCAGATGAATTGTGCAGATCTGTGTCCACGTAAATGTAAGCTGTGAAACTTTGGGCCAGAACAATGGGCTGGAAGAGGCTAAAACGCTCCATGTAGCTGAGGAGAACTAGAGTTGGATGATAATCTTGTGTGGATTTATTATGAGCAACACTTTTCATATCACACAGTTTTAACCTTTCGACCTATGATTGAAATGATAATCTTGAGCTCTCAAAGCTCTCGGAATTGGTGGTATTTCTAATTGTACTTCATGTTAAGGTTAACCTACAGGAAGCTTGAAAGACAAGTGATTTTTTTTTTTCATCTGTGAAAACAACCCAAGGGCAAGTGATTCTTTTTTCTGGAGGGGGTTGCTCATACAAATGAAAAAATGGAAGAAAAAAAAAAACCCAAAACCCAACAGAAAAAAATTGTACTTGCCTCTCCGTTTGTTGTTTTTAGATAAAAAAAAAATTGTGGAAAAAAATGCACTTGCTTTTCAGGGCGTTTTCTTTGAAACATTTTAAAGCACAAGTAATCAAAAGGTAATTTAGAGTTCATATGTTAACTGTCATTTCCAAACAGAGGTATGTTGATCCAGCTGTGTAACCCCAGCTGATTTTGCTGCCAGTTATCAAAGTTAATGTGTAAAAAGGAGATTAAAGCTGTTTGAATCATGCAGCACTGCAGAGTCTGCGTTTACCGTGTATGTTGTGGATTGATGAACACGTCTGTCTGTATAGGGATTGAACTGACTTCAGACGTGCGCAAACAGTAATGTAAGTCTGAATTATTTACATCATGAAATCATGATACTATTTTTTCCCCACAACAAGATGTGCCTGAAGCAGCGGAGAAATAATAGATTAGCAAAACATGAAGTGACACCAGTGTTTTCCTCTCATGGGTAAAAGTGATATTCTACCTGGGACTATTCTGTTCAATAAGAGTGTAAAACCAATCCAAACATTTTTAATTATTCAGCATGTGGCCCTGCTGGATCATTTTGCTGGAAATGAAAAGTGAGAGAAAATAGTCGTTTTTTTTCTTCTTTTTAAAAAATGTATCTCCATGTTCTTTTTTTTAACTTTATATCCCATGAGTAGCCTCGTGTGTACTTTTACTGGGAATGGCACACACGTAGGTGCTGTATTTAAGGGAAAGAATGTGACACTGTTGTGGCACAATCTCTGCTAAAATGTTCTGCAGAACAACAAATTATAACAGAGGCTTCTGCACTTCTTTGCCGTTTTCTTTTATTAAAAATAAATGCTGGTTTCAGTCTCTAGATAGTGCCCTCGCCCGCACAGCCTGCCGTAGAACAATGCACCACCTAAATAGTTTTTCAGAGGTGTATTTCTCAGGGGAGCAGGAGGAAGAGGAGGCGGA